GGGGGACACAGCGGGGGGGGGGACGGGACATGGAGGTGATAGGGACAGCCTGGATGGGACACGGGGACACTTTTGGGGGACACGGGGGTGACAGGGACACCCTGAGGGGGACATGGGGGTGACACTGACTGGGACTCGGGGGTGGCAGGAACAGCCTGGGTGGGACACGGGGACACTTCGGGGTGGGACAGGGGGGTGACAAGGACACCCTGGGAGGGGACACAGGGGTGGCAGTGACCCCTGGGAGGGGACACAGGGGTGGCAGTGACCCCTGGGAGGGGACACAGGGGTGGCAGTGACACCCTGGGAGGGACAGGGGGGTGACAGGGACACGGGGGGTGACCCCAGGACGCGGCCGGGGCTGGCGGGGGGGGGGACACCCCTCGGGGACATTCGGGGACAAGCCGCGCGGGGAGGAGCGGCCGCCACGTGGCAGGGCCGGGCCCGTGTGACCCCCCCGTGTCCCCCCCCCGCGGCCGGCGGGGGCCGGTGTCACTCGTGTCCCCCGTGTCCCCCCCGGCGCCATGCGGGAGCTGCTGCTGCTGCTGCCCCTGGGGCTGGGGGCGGCCCTGGGCCCGGGGCCGGGGTCCCCCTCGCTGTCACCCCCCGTTCGGTGCCAGGGCCGCGCTGGTGGCCCCCGATGTCGCCGCCGGTGTCGCCGCCGGGTCGCTGGTGCTGCGGGACCTGCGGGGAGGGGACAGTGGCACCTTCACGTGCCTGCTGGTGGGGGACAGCGACTGTGCCTGCGGCACGGTGACACTGCGGCTGGCACACGGTGAGACCCCCGGGGACAGCCCGGGACCCCCGGGAACACCCCGGGACCCCCAGGGACCCCCGGGAACAGCCCCGGGAACAGCCCCGGGACCCCCAGGGACCCCCGGGAACAGCCCCGGGAACACCCCGGGACCTCAAAGGAACAGCCCCGAGACCCCCGCCCCGAGACCCCCGAGAAAAGCCCCGGGAACAGCCCCGGGACCCTCCTCCGGGACCCCCGGGAACACCCCGGGACCTCCAGGACACAAACGGGAACACCCCCAAGACCCCCGGGAACAGCCCCGGGAACAGCCCCGGGACCCTCCTCCGGGACCCCCGGGAACACCCCGGGACCTCCAGGACACAAACGGGAACACCCCCAAGACCCCCGGGAACAGCCCCGGGAATATCCCCGGGACCCCTCCCGGATCACCCCAGGGACCCCCTCGGAAACACCCCCGGGACCCCTCCGGGACCCTTCCGCGGGACCCCCAGGGAACACCCCGAGATCCCCCCTGGGACCCCCTGGGGACCCCAGACCGGGAATTCCCCCCGCGACCCCCGCCCTGGGACCCTCACACCGAGACCCCCGCCCGGGACCACCCCCAGGAACACCCCGGGACCCCCTCGGGATCACCACGGGACCCCCGCCCTGCACCCCCCGAGCGCTTCCCCCGTTTTGGGTCTGGGGGCTTGATGGGATGTGGGGGGGGGCTCGGTGGGATTTGGGGTCTCTCCTGGGGGGTCTCTCTCTGGGATTTGGGGTCTCTCCTGGGGGTCTCTGTGGCATTTGGGGGTGCAGCCCCTGAGGGTTGCCCCTGTCGCCCCCCCCCAGGTGTCTCCTGCAGCCCCCCCTGCTCCGGGGTCCCCCCGCGCCGTGGCCGCGGCATCGCCGCCATTGTCACCATTGTCACCGCCATTGTCACCGCCGTTGTCACCGCGGGCCTGCTGCTGCCACCGGCCCGCGGGCACTGACCCCTGTGTGTGTCCCCATGTCCCCATTGTCCCCATGTCTCCAATGTCCCATTCCAAATGTCCACAGTGTCCCTGTCTCCGTGTCCCCAGCATCCCAGACCCCGCTGTCCCCGTGTCCCCAGTGTCCCCAATGTCCCATCCCCGGTGTCCCCAGCGTCCCTGACCCTGCTGTCCCCGTGTCCCCATGTCCCCTATATCCTTAGTGTCCCCATCCCAGTGTCCCTAGTGTCCCCAATGTCCCATCCCCTGTGCCTCTGGCCCCACTGTCCCCGTGTCCCCAGTGTCCCCAGTGTCCCCACTGTCCCCGTGTCCCCAGTGTCCCCAATGTCCCCAGTGTCCCCAGTGTCCCCTCTCTGGCCGGGCAGGGTCCCGAGCCCAGCCTGGGCTGGCCCTGCCCTCGGGATGTCACCCGCTGTCCCCAAGGCGCTGGCAGGACCCGTCCGTGTCGCCGAGGGTGACCCCGGCCGTGTCCCCCCCTCCCCCGCGGTGTCACCCGCCTGGGGACAGGCTGGTGCCACCTCAGCAGCCAGAGCCTTCCCGCATTGTGTCCCCAACAATGGCAGCGCCACGCGCCGGGGGCCCTGTCCCCTCCCGGGGGACAGCGGGACACGGGGACAGGCGGCCGTGGGGCAGCGGCAACGCGGCTGCTGACGGCGGGTGAGTCCCCGATGTCCCCAATGTCCCCAAAGTCTGTCCCCCGTGTCCCCAATGTCTGTCCCCAGTGTCCCCAAAGTCTGTCCCCGGTGTCCCCAAAGTCTGTCCCCAGTGTCCCCAATGTCTGTCCCCAGTGTCCCCACCCCTGTGCCCCCCCCCCTGGGCCCCCCCCCCTGCTGTCCCCACGGGATGTCCCCCATGTCTCCAGAGGTGCCACCCCCGTGTAGCCCCTTCCCCCAGGGGTGTCCCCATGGGTGTCCCCAAGGTCCCCTGGAGATGCCACCCATGGGTACCCCCATGTCCCAGGGATGTCCCCATGAGAGGACATCCTGGGGATCGCTCTGTCCCCCAGAGATGTCCCCACGCTGTCCCTGTGTCCCTCACAGATGCACCCAGGGCTGTCCCCGTGTCCCCCTGTCCCTGCCACTGTTCCTGCCCTGTCCCTGTGTCCCTGCTGCTGTCCCCACGCTGTCTCCACGTCCCCATGCTGTCCCCACTCTGTCTCCATGCTGTCCCTGTGTCCCCACGCTGTCCCGTGTCCCCCAGGCTCTTCCCACGTTGTCCCCGTGTCCCCACGCTGTCCCCACGCTGTCCCCGTGTCCCCCAGAGATGTCCCCACATTTTCCCCGTGTCCCCCAGAGGTGTCCCCACGCTGTCCCGTGTGTGTCCCCACGCTGTCCCTGTGTCCCCACGCTGTCCCCACGCTGTCCCGTGTCCCCAGGATGTCACCGGGGGGGTTGCTGTGCGGGGCCAGCGGCCTGGCCCTGCTGGTGGCCGCCACCGCCACCCCGTTCTGGCTGCAGCGCCGGGCACCGGGGGGCACTGCCAGCCTGGGGCTGTGGCACGGCTGCCTCGGGGGACAGTGCCACCCCCACGCCACCCCCCCAGGTACGCCGCGGGGGGGGGGACACTCGAGGGCGACATCTGGGGGGCTCCATCCCTGTCCCCAAAGTCCCCACCCGCGGGGATCCCCAGAGCTGTCCCCCGGGGGGGGGCACGGGGCGGGCACTGGGGGGGTCACCCGCGTGTCGCCGCGGTGTCCCCACGCCGTGTCCCCCCCACCCAGCGCTGCTGGAGGCCACGCGGGCGCTGCTGCTGCTCTCGGTGGTCGCCGCGGCCGGGGGGCTCGCCCTGGGTCTGCCAGTGGGCACCGGCGGGGCCCGGCGGGAGCGGCGACGAGCGGCCGGGGCCACCCTGCTGCTGGCCGGTACGTGGGGACACGGGGACACGGGGGACACGGGGGACACGGGGACACTGGGGACACGGGGGTGGGGACTGTCCCCAGGGGCGCAGCGCTGGGATGGACGGGATGGGGATTTGGGGACATCGGGGCTGTCCCTGTCCGTGCTGGGAGTGTCACCCCTGCTCTGAGCTGTCCCCTGTCCCTGCTGGGAGTGTCACCTCTGCTCTGGGCTGTCCCCTGTCCCTGCTGGCAGTGTCACCTCCGCTCTGGGCTGTCCCCTGTCCCTGCTGGGAGTGTCACCTCCGCTCTGGGCTGTCCCCTGTCCCTGCAGGGTGGGAATTTGGGGATCATCAGTGTCCCAAGCTGTCCCCGTCCCTCTTCTATTGCCACGCCTGCCCCAAACTGTCCTCTGTCCTTCCTGTCCTGAGCTGTCCCCTGTCCCTGCTGTCCCTGGCCCGAGCTGTCCCCTATCCCTGCTGTCCCTGCTGTCCCCTCTGTGAGTGTCACCCCTGCCCCGAGCTGTCCCCTGTCCCTTCAGGGTGAGAATTTGGGGGTCATCAGTGTCCCAAACTGTCCCCTGTCCCTGTTCTCTTGTCACTCCTGTCCCTGCCGTCCCTGTCCCGAGCTGTCCCTTGTCCCGAGCTGTCCCCTGTCCCCGCTGTCCCTCCTGTCCCCGCTGTCCCCGTCCCCTGACCCGCCGTGTCCCCAGGGCTGCTGGCGCTCTTGGGGCTCGGGCTGGGCTCGGGGGGGTCCCTGGCCCTGCTGGGGCCCCCCCGCAGCTCCTGGAGCTTCTCCTGGTCCTTCATCCTGGCCTGGGTGGCGGCGGCGCTGCTGGGCTCGGCCGGTACCGGCACCGGGCACCGGCACCGGGGGACGGGACGGGGACGGGAACGGGAACGGGGGGAACGGGAGCGGGGGGGCCCCCGGGGCCCGGCCCCGGCCCGGGGGGGCCCCCGCGGCCGGGGGGCTCGCCCTGGGTCTGCCCGTGGGCACCGGAGGGGCCCGGCGGGAGCGGCGACGAGCGGCCGGGGCCACCCTGCTGCTGGCCGGTACGTGGGGACACGGGGACACGGGGGACACGGGGGACACGGGGACACTGGGGACACGGGGGTGGGGACTGTCCCCAGGGGCGCAGCGCTGGGATGGACGGGATGGGGATTTGGGGACATCGGGGCTGTCCCTGTCCCTGCTGGGAGTGTCACCCCTGCTCTGGGCTGTCCCCTGTCCCTGCTGGGAGTGTCACCTCCGCTCTGGGCTGTCCCCTGTCCCCGCAGGGTGGGAATTTGGGGATCATCAGTGTCCCAAGCTGTCCCCGTCCCTCTTCTATTGCCACGCCTGCCCCAAACTGTCCTCTGTCCTTCCTGTCCTGAGCTGTCCCCTATCCCTGCTGTCCCTGCTGTCCCCTGTCCCCTCTGTGAGTGTCACCCCTGCCCCGAGCTGTCCCCTGTCCCTTCAGGGTGAGAATTTGGGGGTCATCAGTGTCCCAAACTGTCCCCTGTCCCTGTTCTCTTGTCACTCCTGTCCCTGCCGTCCCTGTCCCGAGCTGTCCCCTGTCCCCACCGTCCCTTCTGTCCCTGCTGTCCCCTGTCCCCGCTGTCCCTCCTGTCCCCGCTGTCCCCGTCCCCTGACCCGCCGTGTCCCCAGGGCTGCTGGCGCTCTTGGGGCTCGGGCTGGGCTCGGGGGGGTCCCTGGCCCTGCTGGGGCCCCCCCGCAGCTCCTGGAGCTTCTCCTGGTCCTTCATCCTGGCCTGGGTGGCGGCGGCGCTGCTGGGCTCGGCCGGTACCGGCACCGGGCACCGGCACCGGGGGACGGGACGGGGACGGGAACGGGAACGGGGGGAACGGGAGGCGGCGCTGCTGGGCTCGGCCGGTACCGGCACCGGGCACCGGCACCGGGGGACGGGACGGGGACGGGAACGGGAACGGGGGGAACGGGAGCGGGGGGGG